CCCTTGGTCTTTAATCATATTTTAACATAATTATAAGCGCGCAAATGTTTAATTTTGATAACTAATTACCATCCGATATTAAGAAAATTAGCATGGCATCCTGACCGAATATAATACTTCGTCTACTGTCGAGCAGTGAGCCAGGATCCCAGGCTATTAGAAATAAAATGAACAGTCAGACGCTACTTTGTACATTCATGAGATATAATTGTCTATATTTACCGTTTCCGTTTCAATTTATTTTTGTTTACAGCACAAAAATTAAATCATTTATATTTTTTTAATATTTGCTTTTTCCGACGGATATTGGTGAACTAATTAAAGTAAATAACTTAAACTGTAAAGACAATATATAGGTGTACGCTTAATGGCCTTTTGCTATCTACGCTTGTACTAGGCAGAGACATATAATGTCTCTGGACTAGGTATATGCGATGTGTGTATTATTCTCTGGCAATACTCGTGGAAGGCTTGTAACAAGGTATAAGGTAATTAACAAATCGGAAATTAGCCGGGCCTCTAGGGCACACGTGGCAGGTGTGACTGTCAATTGGAATGGACAATAAGATAGAAGGTCGAGTTTAATACACAAAGTTAAAATACATATTAAAGGAGGTGGCAAATACAAATAGATCGCCGTGGAATATTAAATCAAATTTAGGGTTAGGTCCGTTGTTTACCAAATAAATGATTTTGAACATGTATTTCATATACATGTAGGATGGATAAATTCGAAGTTATGAGAATGATAAATAATGTTTAAATTTATAAATCTAAAGAAGAAGATATTAAAACCAAAATGATTTTTCTATCTAATTAGTTTAAAAACGAAGAAATAATCTTGGGAACACCAATAATCAAGTTTTATAATAAGAGTTTGGCTGTTTACACGAGAGAAAAATAACATGATTTTAAAAAAACAATTTTAAGCACCATTATTAACGTGAACCTCTATACGTAAGACCTCATCTACAGGTAACATGCATTAAGCTATGTAACACCCGGAAATGTCAAGGTAAATCACTACCTATACAGACTGTACCATGTCAACGAAACTCCCGATTTGAAAGCATGACCATTCATGATTTAAGAGGGGTCTTAGGTGAGGGGACTTCTGACTAGATTTTTTTTCTCAACTAATATCACTTAACTTTTAAAAAAAAACAATTCATTACATCCATGAAATTCAAAGAATACTCCCTAATATCGGCTACAGTTCTTATTGGACAAACCGTATTGAATTTTTAAAATTTCAATGATTTAATACATAGTAAAAACACTGAAAATTCAAATCAATTTGATAGTCAATATGTTTCCTACAAAAATTATATATCTTCATTGACATTCGGTCTGAAAATAAAATGTGAATTTGGAATACAGAACATGCGGAATGGTTTAAATTCTTACTCAATTTTGATCACTAAAATAAATATTGAGTTTTTTAAAATTACATCCAGAAACTACTTTTATTTGTAAATTTACATTTTTATCTGTAACTGTCGATAGAAGTGTTTTTTTTTTAATTCCCCTTCGGAACAATGCTTTTTATTTTTAGAAAAGTTGAAATCATACATTGACTCTATGATTAAACTATTTTTTTGTTGTTAACCAGATATATATATTATATATATGTCTCTGAGTTAACATATAACAAGAATGTGTCCAAAGTACACGGAGTGTCATTTTTTATGTTCAGTGGACCGTGAAATTGGGGTCAAAACTTTAATTTGGCATATAATTAGAAAGATCATATCATAGGGAACATGTTTACTAAGTTTCAAGTTGATTGAACTTCAACTTCATCAAAAACTACCTTGACCAAACACTTTAAGCTGAAGCGGGACAGACGGACGAACGGACGGACGAACGAACGAACGAACGAACGGACGAACGAACGGAAGCACAGAACGGAAAACATTATGCCCCTCTACTATCGTAGGCGTAGAAAAATAGACTGGAAACATATTTATGGTGTGAACAATGCAAATGCGGCTATGCACATTTTCTAGGAAACTACTACTAACCACAGCGTACATGTACATTTTTTAAATGACTCCTTCCACTATTTCAACCAAGAATGACAATTATATATGAAATGCTATAGTTGGTGAGACTTTATTCTTATAAGATGTGTGTATTTATTATCTTTATATTTATAAACCAAATCATTTGTGTATTTACACTTACAATATTTGAGAAAATTTCGTATACCCGTTCCTATTATGTACAGAAATATGCAAAATGTATGCGATTTATATGATTATTTTCTCTTTTATTTTCAACATATATTTTAAATTGGGACTATCTATATAAGTTCCGTAACTTTCTATCTGTATAAACCAATGATCAACAAGTACATACATTTTTGTGAAATTATCAGCAATATAATTTCAAAAAAAAACAGAACAGATTTTAGTCACGAATAATATTCTAGTCTAACGTGTTGGTGTATGCGTTGTCGAAGATGCACATAGACCTAGGTGAGCAACACACTCTCTTTAAAACATATAGTGTTTAGTTTTACAAAATGTGGGTTATCAAATTCTGTTGAAGGATTTATTGTTGTTAGTTAATGTAAATGTTCGGTTGCAAATACTACATGCATATTGAGGACAAAGAAATATAGTAACTGGCAAAACTATTCAGGCATCTCCACCTAAAATAAATCTTCATGGAACGCTACCTATACTTCATAAAATAAAAACCCACTTATATACGATTTTCAAAGGTTTTTGTTTATGTAATTGTATAATGAGCCTGTGTTGCACATGTTTTTCAGTACTACTTTTTAACCAATTATACATGTACATTAAATTTGAAAAATGCTAGAATACTATTGCACATTGTATTCATAAGAAATTTTGTTAAAACATATTGAGATCATCATTACATGATTATAGAAACGACACAGTCTGTCTATCTGTCTGTCTGTCTGTCTGTCTGTCTGTCTGTCTGTCAATGAAATCTTTTTTGGATAGATCTGTTGGACGCATATTTCCGACTTGCCCTTACTTTCAATAAAGAACTGGTGTTATTCTTAGCCTTAACACCATGTGTTGGTTGAATTTGCCTCTGATTTTTTTTCACAGATTAAGTTTTGGTTTAGATGGTGTCACAGTCTTGTCTCAGTATAACAACAGGGTTGAGTACAGGTGCCCTGATGGTTCCTCTACGCAGAGAGAAAATCCCGCAAATGGAAGCGGGCCTCTATTGGTTACTAAACAATAATGTATACTAGTTCAGCGAAATGGTTGCTACACTAAACACCAAAACATGCTTTTGAAATTAAATCAGAAAAAAAACCGCACGAGATTAACAAAGGATAAAGATTTCTGCTTTGGTACAGGCGACAAAATGTAATTTATGACTTTTGATATCTCAACCTGCCCCTATACCTTGCTCAAATGAGGAATAAACACCCACACTGCATAAAACAGGGGAAAAGAAGTCAAGAGTCCGATGTTAGATTAGGTAACAGAAGAAACTACGCAAATGGCAATAATAAACATAAAATAACAAAGGACCAGTAGCAGTAACTGACATGCAAGACCCCGACATGAAGTACAATAATCGGGAATATGTGTCATTGGTAGTAAAATTTACATTTCTTGAACAATGAAATCTGGGGATATTTGGTCAAATAAAATAATACCTTTACTTAGTACCAGAACATATAAAAATTATTCTCTTTTCTTTGGTTTTGTTCTCCCATAGGATATTTCTTTCTCCCATAGGATATTTATTTCTCCCATAGGATCTGTTTCTCCCTTATGATTTGCTTTAATCTCCCATAGGATTTTTATTCTCCCATAGAATTTTTTTTCTCCTTAGGATTTATTTTTAACCCTTAGGATTTTTTTTTATCCCACAGGATATTTTTTCTGTAATAAAATCCCTTAGGATTTTTATTAATCCTATCGGATATTTTTCATCCCACAGGATATATCTATTAGACAAATATCCTATAGGAAAAAAAAATATCCTGTAGGAAATGCTTTTATTTCTCCTAAGGGATTTATTTAGTCCTAAGGGAGAAAATATATCCTGTAGGATATTTTTATTCTCCTAAGGGATTATAAATCCCATAGGATTTAAATATCCTGTAGGATATCAAAAATATTCTATGGGATTATGACTTTATCCTATAGGATTTCTCAAAATCCTGTAGGATTTTAACAAATCCTATGGGAGAAAAAAAAAACCTACAGGATTTAAATATCCTGTAGGATTTTAACAAATCCTATGGGAGAAAAAAATATCCTACTGGATTTTGTCACTGTTTTCACTCCAGTTGCCGAACCAGGCGAGCCACACGAAATTTTTTTTTGTATTGTTTTACCTATCCCCAGAGGTACATTATTGGCAAATTTGATGATTCTACCTTTTAAAAAAAAAGTGTGGTTCCAATTTGCACTCATGAGAAGTGCAAATTAAACCAAGAACATGTTAACTGATCTTTAATTTGAAAATGTACTTCTAGTGGGTTTTTAAACGCATTGTAATGACAATTCATAGATGCTGTACGAATAGAAAACTTAAGGTAAACGAAACAAATACAAGTTTATAAAAACTCTAATATTTGATTATGTTAAAACCTAAAAGAACACTTTAAGTTAAGTATATATAATTATATTACTTGAAAAAGAACCACTTAAGCTGTACAATATTATAGTTATGCGTAACAAAAAGAAATAATTTTATATAAACGTTTGTTTTGAACTTAATATATATATCATAGTAAAGATTTATTTAATGTATGTTAGCAGGAAGTTGGGATAAAGTCGTCAATTATCAGATAAGTATACATTACTTCCAAGAAGATCAAAATGGTCCTCACAAATATATTGTATAACGATAACGAGATTTAGTATGGTTGCGTATGAGACAACTATGTGCAAAGACAAAAAAGAATGTAAACAAGTACAGACCATCGCCGTTGTTTAAACATGAACAAAACTAATGCAGTATATTTACTTTTGTATTTATGTATGTATTTGCAGATATAACAGAGGGATTGGAGGAAACACCTGTTGAGTCGTCTATCCAATTTGATATCATTGGTAATATATAACACATTAATTCTTTCATACCACTAATTAAATTTGAATAAATACTGAACGTATGAATGTTGTTTCATATAGTTCATGTTTTACTGCAGAATAGGGTAGCTTGACGATTGGTTGATTTGGCACTATCATGTTGGATATTCATATATCTAGTGGTCTCTATGATACATATATATATATTGATGCTCATAAATGGTGCACACTTATCACAAGTTATGGACGAATCGTCGATATAGATGCTGCATTAAAGATAGGGGACACGTGTGAACTTAGACATACAGACCAAACATGGAATAAATTCTAACCATGATTTCGCTACCTGCCTTTCAGAATTGAAGAAAACAGTTAAAACATTGACTTCAGCCTAGAAATCATTTCGAAAAACCTAACAATGAATCAAATTACGTTGGTTAATGATTTTGATCTTACTGCAAAAAAAATCATTTGCATGTCGGTTTCACAGGATCTTGTTAATTTGTGAAACTGAAATGCAGTAAGATCAGTATCATTAACCAACGTAATTTGGTAAAGGTGGACCAAAACACAAGACGTTAAGACAAATCAAAGTTGCTACTATTGATAACTTGATAACATAAACGGTTCTTATACATCATTGGCTTGCAAATATTTGGTTTGACCGTTCCTGATAAAGGTCAATCCAGAAAATCGCTTCGCACGCATACAATGTATAAAGTGTTATCTTTACTACATGTACCATGCTTATATTATATTTTGTTATAAAAAAATCGACTTAATTTTTGTAAGTATAAGATACAATTGAGATTTGAGTTGTTCTGCGTTTTAAGTAACTATAATATAGTTCTGGAAGAAATTTCAATAAGAGTTGAGATCCTTTCATCTTAAGGTTCAAAGGTTTGTTTTTCATTCCTTTCAGGAATAGCTGCTGGTGTTAGCGGAGGCATATTACTTACAATCACATCGGTCTTCTTGATATATCGTTTAAGAAGGTAAACTACTTTTCGTATATACATTTTAGTTTCAAATATTCACTGTAATATTAATATGAATCTAATTATAACAGATGTATTTCAAATGTCACTGCATGAATCCCAAAATAATCATTTTGTTTTCATTATTGCATGCTTGTTATGCTTCCATCTGGGTTCAATCTTATTTGATGTGTAAGTGTTGTGTTTCGTTGAAAGCCTAAAGATATAGTTTAAGATGCTTGAATCAATTAACTCTCGTTGTGTTATCTTGGAGAAATATCAGTAGACACTTTAAAATAATGTTGATGTGGAAAACATATTCAGTGTATATGAGACAAATTTTAAGATTGAAATTGGAACTATATATTCATCAATTGAAAAAAAAATTTTGATAGTTGATATATAAGGCAAAGTTGCCTATCAACTTTTTTAAGGGAGTTATGACACTGGAAAATGAAAAAAAATATGGAAAGTAGAATTATAAGTTGTCTCACGTCTACATTTCCTGTCGAAAGATTGTTTAAATTATATCAAAGTTCAACAAGAACAATATCTTTTGACACCTGAACGATCCTTGTACGTGAAAACAAATTACATTATGTAATAGCCTTTGCGTAGCTTAACATGTTGATGATGCGAGGGACATTGTATCACTGTTACTAAATTTAAAATAATTTCAACTATTAAAGTCATATAAATAATTTTAAGAAAAGCGTAAGCTTTAAGAAATGATAAGAAATACCGCGTTTGATTTTAATGTGTCCTCAAATAAAAGAAGAAAAGCAATTCAACACACTTTTTTACCATAAATTCAAAATTATATTTAAAGATTGTCCCCCTTCGGTTCAGTGAAATCTTTTTATTCATTTTTACACTAAACACTAAACACTGGTCACTAGGCGATATAACATGGAAATAATTTCCAGCCCAGATATAAGCACTATTGTGTTGACATGAATTATCATTAGTAATGTCATATTTATAAATTAACTGTTTTCATAACTTTGAATTATTCAAAATACTGAAAATTTTCTACCCCAGAAATAGATTACCTTAGCTGTATTTGACAAAACCTGAAAAAAAATTCGAGCGTCTCTAATGATTCTTTTGTAGACGAAACGCGCATCTGGTTTACAAAATGTTAAACCTGGTTTATTTGATGAGTTTTATAGAGCTTGCACTGAATGTGATCGTAGAGGAGACACACGTAATTCCTTGTTTAGTGAATTCTTATGACTCAATTGGGGTAAACTGTTTGAGAAAAAAATTAAAAGTAAGACTGTAATTCATGGAAATATCTGCTTTTCGGTTTTGCTGGTTTTTATTTTTGTTAATCTTTGCAAACGTTGCCTTCACATATTTTAGTTGCGAGCACTCACGATGATGGGTAATCTCGAAATGCGCAATTAAAACACTTAATTGATTACGGAGAATGTGTGTCACACATGTTGACGTTCCTTTTTAGTTTGAGGATAAGTATTTAGAATTAGAACATCATCAATATATCATCAAGTGAAAATAAAAAAAAAAGAAATGTATGAGACATTGTATGAATTTTGGTTTATGTTATTAAGATGGAAAGCAATATCTATGTCGTTCGTATGTTTATTTTTCGAAAATAGGTCATCAAGTTCGCAGTTTTTTAATTGCCCTATGTCAGAAACTCTGTTTATGAATTTAATCGTGATTGAAAAATATTTACCCCAATTCAATTATCCACTTAAACATGTTAAAAACCAAAAACATTAACAAAATATATTCAGACAGGAGCTGATCATGTACTGTATCTTGGACAGCGACGTGAACAGTTGGGTAGGTTACTGATATAATTTAATGGATTTGCAACAACCTTCAATACGGATTTACCTATCGTTTATACAGTCAAGTGTTTTTTATTTTAGGTCTAATGGCTGTGATTGTGTGACGAAAAACATAACGTCCCTAATGAGAAAAGGACAAGAAAGTAGAATTAAAGAGACTGGCGTCTATGAATGTTCAAATATTCCTTCGAGATTATCTGACCACGCTTACGACTCGTTTGAATGTGCAAATTATTACAACATGACAAATGTCCCTAATTCCTCTACAAGTGGACATCATGAAAATGACAGAGATCTGTACATTAATCAGTAAGAAGTAGAACCAGCGTTTCGTGTAACCTTTACAAATAATTGGTGATTCTTTTAGATACTTATTACATGGAATTTGTAACATGAACTTTCTAATTAAATACACTTTTAAAGTTCAAACTGCAGTATGAAACGGAAACATGCGACTCAATATAAAGACAACGATACAATACAAAAAGCGTTTCCGATTTAAGGGATGTAATGAATTTACTTTCAATTATTATTCAATGATTGTTATAATTCACAATTGTATCAGTCTACATTTTTACCGAATCTCCTCATACATGTTTTCACCGATTTTTATGCATTGTTCATGTTTTGGTCAACGTTATTTCAAGATATTTTGACAGTTTCATTGTAAATGAGTTCACGTAAACAAAAGACTCGGTAATTATTGGTTTTAATTGGATTACTTCTTGATCATATTTTTATAGAATCATACATGTTTATACATTAGTCGATAGAAGTTACATAGCTTCAGATGACCATCCTGCTGCTTCATGTATCGATAACTTGTTACTCAAGGTTAATTCAATTTGTTAAAGAAAATCCCTGCATTATAATTACCATCTTTTTATCGAGGTTGTCACATGTCAGATATCCTTATCACCCCTATAATAGTTACTCACAATTACATGATTTTTTGTATTTTCTTTTTTCTTTTATACTAAAATACATTTTCATATTCCAAGTGCTGGAAATTGAATATTACACTTAATGATTTTGCATTGAAAGTTTTTCTTGGTGTGCATATTGTAGTACATAAGTCCTTATGTGTCTTTTCCTTTAATGAGTTTTGAACTTTAAAGTATCGAAATAGGTATATGACTATTAATAGTTAATGTAGACTAGTTTACGATGCATTTATTTAGATTACCTATTTGAACAGGATTACATTGTAAAGTACAGGATTATAATTAACAAAAATATAATACATTTGTGGTCGTAATTTGTTTAGTTTTGTACGTAAGCTTTATAATAATTAACATATATAGTTTACCATGTTTATTAAGCGAGTTGTATTTTATTTGTATGTTTATTCTAATGATATCAAGCTGAATAGTATTTAGCATTCAGTGTGCTTCCTTTCGTCCACTTCATCCATTCGTATAAGAAACATGGCTATGTGATGCAAGCATGAAATAATATATCTACGACTGCGACATGCCTAGTATAAAGGCAGGAATGACTGCCTGTTTCCGACAATTCGTACATCAATTCGGAATATATCAACCAAGAGAAAAAAAAAAAAACAAAAGCGAAGCCGGTGCGTCGTCAATAAAACCATTTCCTTCTATACATGCATCGCCAGCCATGACTCGGTCAAAACATCTCGATTGGAACATGCTATGTGGTATTTTAAACGTGCTATATTAAAATTTCAAAAGTGCCATGTAAGACTCCAAACGGATTGGTCTTTGGTCATACTTCTGATTTGTTGGTCTTATCTCCAGATAAATGATTATCACAAATAACCCGACATCCCATCACCACGACCATTTTACAGGCGCCAAGGGAATGACGCCCGTTTTTCCTATACGTTATTTTTGTTGTGATTAATTTTGTTGTTGTTGTAAACATTACTTAATGTTCTAAAATGACGTGCTTCTTTCGCTTTGTAGACAAAGCCATGCTCGAAATCCAATACAATTTGTTAGCATATGCGTATATTGACTACTGCATAAAAATGATTTTTATCAAATTGGCATGCATTTAATATATTTCATTAACTTAAAACACTTTCAAACTCTTAAATGATGCCCATGTTGTTACTAATAAATATACAATGACTACAATGTGTTCTCATTCGCAATTGACATAATTGACCTAAATACGGCAACGTTGATGTTGGCTGTTCAAAACCCCTCCCTCTACAAAAAAAAACATTGCATGTCGTCATCTTGTTTACAAACAAAATGGATTACGCACGGATAATACCGTTGAAAATTGGGCTAAAAGTATATCACAGAGGACAACTATATAAGATTATAGACCACCACAGACAAGAACATTCTGTAGTTCAATATGTGATTCAATCTTTGTCATCTGGACGGACCAAGAGGGTATTTAAGCATGAAATTTGTGATGCCTCTGACACTTCTTCAATGTTTAATCGCCTTACAGAAGAAACCATATTTCAGTTTGAGCATGATAGTTCACAATCAGATGATGAACTATTATCAATAACTTTCACTAAAGATGTACCAGTGACAGTGTTAGAACCAGAAGCAGTGACAGTGTTAGAACCAGAATCAGTGACAGTGTTAGAACCAGAACCACCCATTAAGAAACCAAGGTTCAAAGAAATGCCAAACAGAGAGCACATAGATATGTTGGCTCAAGCCAGAGTGGAAAAGACTACTAAGCAACACACTGATTGGGAGTGCGCCTTTCCAGATGTAAATAAAATTTACATACACAACAATATACTACATAAACGATTTTTAAAATAACAAACATGTAAATTAACAAGTGACATGTGGACACAAACCAGAATAAAACCATGATAAATACAAATACGGGATACTTACATTATGTATATCACTCAAATTCAACTCATTCATTTAAATGCTGTAAAAAGGAAAGTGAAGTACAGGTAATTAAGACTGCAGTACTGAAATGGCAAAACTGCTGCATATATAATAAAATGGTTTGTCCCTAGCAGGGAATTGAAACCCATTCTCCTATTAAAAATTGCAATATACCACCAAGGTTTCCAATCCATTTACAAATGCAACAAGATCGTCACTCAGTTTAAATTTTCATCGTCACGAGAAAAAAAAAAAAATTTAATGAAATGACAATGTATGCATGTTGTGCGTATACTACAACTAAACTATTCAGAAAGCTCAAAATTTTGATCAACATTGTGATTTTCAGACAATGAGCTAATGACGTAAAAATATGTTTATCTTAAACCTCTGCCGACACCATAAATGACATGAATTAAATTCCATGGAAACATATCATGCATGTTGTTGACCTCATAAGTGAGGTTTTACACATCTATAATAGCTGCCAGTGTGTTTAAGGGTAGGACAAAACTGCCACTTTATTCACATTAATAAGACCATTATGTTTTAATTTGTAAGCTTACATATTTCCGACCTGAAAATGTTTGTTTATAAGTATTTTAGTATTTAAGTTGACAAAGTTTGAAAGTTATTTGTACATGTATCAACCTATTATTGAGTAAAAAATAATTTTGAAGAGACCATTTAAACTGCAAAATATTATGTTACCAATACATGCAATACACGGTTAAAAAGTTAAAGAATGATAATTTTTTTAAATTTGAGATGAGACCTGTGGGTCGCCAAGAATAAAAATAAGCATGAAATTTCTATTTTTTTTTTTGAAAGTTTTGAAAAATCTGGTCGACAAATCTGTAAACCGATAAAATAAAGAAGAATGGCCTGAAAACCACATATTCATTTCCGAATCTGCAGATTACAAATTTAAAGTGAATATTTACATAGACCTAGTAAAATAAGTTTTAAAATTATAATTTCAGGATGGTTGACAGAAAACAGATATAATAATAAATTTGTGGAAATTAATGACATATCATGCTATTTCTATCCAAGCCTGCAAACAAAGAAAAGGACAGATTTTTCGAAATCTGTGTAATTGGCATACAAGCAGCAATATCGCGTCATCTTACCAGTCAACCATTTAATCGCAATGCTAATTTGATAAACGATAACTCCTTCATAACGTCTAATCATGTAATAACCGGAATAACTAAAACCCTAAAGCGTGTTGGCAAAGATGTTACGGTGCACAAAAAACCTGTAGCAGAGGGCGACGTACAGCAGTTGTATTCAAGTGCGGTTTTTAACACGGATACACCAGTTACACTACAAAATAAAATTTTCTGGGACTTGATGTTAAATTTTAATAGACGAGAACAGGAGGAGCAAAATAGCTTGAAAAAGTCATATTTCGGTACATTCACAGATGACAAGGGTCACACTTACTACAAAATGACCTCTCCGAGCACAATAAAACACACCACGAAGTTGATTCTCATGAAAACAGACAAGAGGTGAGTATGTATGAAAAATCAGAAGATATAAACTGTCCAGTTGCAAGTTTAGATTTCTATTTATCTAAATTGGGTTCTAAATGTAATGCATTGTTTCATCAGCCATTGCTTTATCCAAAACCAAATTGCTGGTATACTAATCAAGCAATGGGGAAAAAATAATTGAGTCAATTGATGCAAAGGATTTCAAATGAAGCTTGCCTTTCCTACAGATACACCAACCATTGTATAAAAGGTACTGGGCTAAACCGTGCCGGAGTCGATGATTTAACTATCATGTCAGTAACGGGTCATAGAAACATTAAATCGTTAGAAAGTTACGTTGCAAGGCCATCAGATGCACAAAGGCGTGTCCTTTCATCAACTTTACAGGGTGTAGCTACCGCGAGTGATGGCAATTGCAATGAATCCATGTCAAAGGGCCCTGCCAAGTCGCGAACGTAAGTACCTCTTTGTCAAGGAATCCTCTATCAGATATGAACATATTCACCAATGCTACAATTTCCGGCGGCACATTTACGATCAATTCAGTAAATAAAGACTTACCTGATTCCCCTTGTGCGTCTGCCACCATTGGCAACTGACTTGAAAATGTGTGTTACAGAAATTGACCTCCAAAGTTGAAGACGTTAAATTATAACTTTTGAAGTCTTTTCTGTTATATTTTGACACGAATATTGTTATAGTTAATGAATTCGTTAATTTCTGTTTCAATTTGAATTTTAGAAATACAATTTTGCACAGTTAAAAAGTGGTTCAAACTATTTAGATAAAAACTGTCAGGGAGGTTCATGGAAGAGCGTACACAAACGCTGTACACCTATACACATCGAACATAGAAATTACCGTAAATGTCCTAATCAGAATCGAAATAATTGATGCACGCTAGACTTTATTGTAGTTTTAACATGAGTATGCATTCTATTCGTGATTTTTTTTGGACGAGCGATAGCTTCACTTTTGTAATGTGTTCTTGCTCGTGTACATACGATTTTACAATGACAATAGGTTTTATATGTTGTCCCATAATTTTATCTACCACAAGGAATGAAAGATAAAAAATTTGAATATCACTACCGAGAAGCTTTAATTTTGTCCAGGCCATTACTGATGACGGAAGTAGATGTCATGACTTTAAATGCCATAAATGAAGTCTGATAATTTGAAAAGTTTTCCCGAATAAATTTTATTTCGACCCTGCTAACAATTTCCGATCTAACCGGGCTTCGCGATTCAAGCATTGCATATGGAGTCCTTCCACATAAACTCCTGTTTGATCTTTGGTTCGAATGTTTCAATCCCTAAAAGTTTTCCTGCACGTTCAAATAACAAGCTTTAACGTTTACGTTAACAACAAGTTCATGTATAAACTTTCATTCACTTGTTTTTCAGGAGACTTTCCCAACGTTTATACATCCTTCCATAAATCACTTAGTAAAGTCAAGTAATACGAAACCATGTTCATCAAAAGCAATATTATCACAAAATTAAAAAAAAAAAATGTTATCCAGTTTTTTGTTTTTGTAATTTTGCCTTAAAGGCAGATGTTTGACAGAAAATAAAAACAAAAAAAATTAACTTTCATGCGTTCTAAACTCTTTGAACTAACCTGTATCATGTTAAAAGCAGAATGTTTGAAAGCCACGGTTGTATAACAATCGAAACAGTTGACGAGCTATATAACCAAAAATTACCTAAAATAATAGCCAAGTATATTATAATGCCATGCGTACTTAGTGCTTTTCTGGACTCATTAGGAATTAGGAATGCTCAAAGCTAAATATTTGAAAGCCAAGGATGTATAAAAACAGAAACAGTTGACGAGCTATATAATGAAAATAGACCATATGTACCTTCGTTTTTTGTGCTCTTTTTGTGGATGGTTCTCTTTTAACAAAAACACAACTTCTCAGTTCTCTAGTTATGTAAAATTATTTCGCTTTTTCCTGAATCGAAAAGA